AAGGGCTCCTACCCTCGCAGCCTTCAGCTGATGTTGTAAAACATAATGCATTCTATCTACTACGTAGGATATAGGTACGCTACACCAGATTTCGTGCCAAAACAGCGCAATAAGACCAGAACGATCACATTGATTTGGAGCTGCGTCGGCCTGTGGCGTAGATTAATTTCGGCCTACGCCACAAGACGACAAAGTTTCGCCGAGGGCGACTGGTGGCTTGAAGCACACTGTGCACGATTGAATCGTGGCCACCAGGCTTCACACCTTGTGGCTGAGTCGTTGGACTCATTCGCTGGGTGCTGTTGAATGCAGCAGGACTATGCCGCTACCCTATATTTAGACAATAGATTGACATTTGACACCCTCAACTCCCAGGACATGACTGAAATTGGGATACAGTACCTCCGCAAACATTATAACTTGAAAACAGTTTACCACGCCGACTTTCTTGTGAGCACGACGAAATGCGTTGTGACAGTGACAAATTTTGTTGTGATAAAAACCTGTACTCGGTGTGGTCGCATCTGGTGGGCGCTCCGCAGTCGGCTGACACGACTCTGTTCACCGAGGATGACGGGTTGTTCGAGGTCACCTTCCTCAAAAGCAGCTCTGGCCGGTTCCTTGTCATTGATACCTTCTTCCGCAGAGACCAGCGAAGGGCACGTGCTCGATTTGCACGACCCCCAATCGTTCTTGGCTGTCGTCGCGCCACGAGTTCAGGTACACATAATATATTTATATATTTATATATTTATATTCGAGGCTGCTTGATATTCAATGTATCGTGTACAGTTTCCAAGATATATATTTTAGTTGGGCCAAACAGCTGAGTTAAAGTACGATGGTCGTTCATTGGTTCAAATATCTCAAAAGTGTAAAGTAATTGGCTAGGACTAGCATGTTGTTCACTGTACATTTGCCAGCTCTTTCTTGGCGTATACTAGTATTATGCTCCATATATGTATTTGTATATTTTTCATGGAAATATTAATCGTTTGTGGTTTAATAGGGCGTGAAATACAAGGTGGAGCACTGGCAAAACGAGTTGTTGATCACGACGAATCGCGACGTCAACTTCAAACTCATGTCGGTGCCACTCCATATCGTGTTGGACAAACAAAAGGCGGCAGATAACTCCCAATGGACATCCGTGTTTGCTTATGATCCGGCCGTGCAAGTGGCGTCCGTGACCTGCT